GCTAGAGATGGAGATGTCATGAGGCATAAAGTCCTCCTGCACTGGCAGTGGTGCAAAACAAACAACGTGGAAGTATATATATATACATATATATATATATATATATATATATATATATATATATATATATATATATATATATATATATATATATATATATATATATATATATATATGTGTGTGTGTGTGTGTGTGTGTGTGTGTGTGTGTGTGTGTGTAAATTCATTAAACACAATATGTCCTTGCTGAAATACAATCATTCAGGTTCAACAAACTCCTTACCCAACTAGAGCAATTGCAGACTTATAAAAAATAATAAAGTTGTATCTCAGATTAAAGATAAGATTACATCAATAAACAAAGAGCAAACTCAAAATTATGAATCTTGATTATATCAATTTATAAACAATTTCAGTGTAATATATTTGCTTTGGAACAATAAATGTAAAATATCACTCAAGTAAATGTTAAATTTACTTGAGGGCAATAATAAAAGTCTGACTTGCCTGATTACATATTTCTCAAAAAGTTTAAATTCTATCGCTTTTCATGGCTGATTCAGGATCAACTACTGTAACAATTTTTTTCATACAAACATGTTAATCAGGATATTTTATTGGATCAACTCACAAAAAAATATACAAAGAGGAGGGGTTTATGCCAAACCTAACTGAATGATTGTTCTGATCCAATCATCCAAATCAGGGCAAGCTGACCTGTCGGTGCAGGTGTGTAGAGGAAGTAGCAGCACTGGGCAGCATAGAATTCTGAGGGATGTTAGTTTCCCCTTGCTCTCTCATTCTGCAATCAAGCAACAGCATGGGTTGACGAGTCTGTAGTGTCAAAAATGCCCCAACCCATCTTGGGACCTGGAAGAGATCCATTGTTGATACTAAAAACAATGAATATCAACACATCTCTGGATTTGCTCTTTTTTTCCAGCAAATATAGAAATGCTATGTTTTCTGAGCTAGTATTAGGAAATGGTGACAACCGCTGCACATGTCAGAGTATTTTTATTGGATAAAAGCCAGGTGCAAGTAAATGCACATAATAAATTTAAAGATTTTATTTGTTTTTAATCTTTAAATGGCCTCTCCTTGCCCTTTATCCCTGAGCCTTATACAGCCCAATGCATTTTCTGATCTTGATATCACTTACTTTCTCTTTCTCTTATCATTTGGTGAACCCAGGTGATGACTGTGTATGAAAATCCCAGTAAATCACCAGGTCTAAGAAACGTTTTCTAGTAGCAGCTTGTCTGGTATCAACAATCACATCATGGAATACTTCCTATAATATTATACTATAATATACCAATATCAGACATTCAAATATTTTGTTAATTATATATTTATATGCAATAAGTCAGCCTTTGATTAGAAGGTAATATGAACATTTGCTGCACTTCTTATAACATTTATCTCAAAGGACCAAATGTTAAACACACCCTGTCATTAAATTTTATGTCTTGAGAATGGCCCATGTTGTGTAACAAGTATTATAGTCAAAAGTCAACCAACTTTCTGTCAGACTGTATTAAAGGATAGACAATACACCTGAGTAAGTGACTTTCTTTAGGGACCTCAAAGCAAGAATTTACTGTATTTGACAGCATGGACGGTAAGGCATTACATTTACTTAAATTAAAAGTTAGAATTTTAACAATCTGAAATATGTTGTTTTCTTGCACTTTAATTTTAGCTATTATAGGCATCTTAATTTATTGTGGGCAATTTCATTTTTCATTTGCACTAAAAAAAAACATACTAAAATGATATAATTCCAATGCAACCAACTAATGAATGAGCTCAGAATACTATTCCATTTTTACTGTTCGTTTTAGATTATGATCATCAAGAAAGCTCAAAAACTTCAGATTTTATGTTCAAATTAGATAATTAACTTGTACTCTTACTGGATTTAGGCAGGAAGGATGAACAAGGTTTTCGGTTTGTAGATTTCTTTTTTAAATGCAACATGGTCATGGATGTAATTAACTGGAATTGTGAGAGGGTGAAATTATATTTCAAGAAATTTCTATTAATTACCACAAATTAAAGACTAAGAAGAAAAGCAAAGCAATTAACATTTATGCAGAAAGGTATAAGTGATAATCATTTTATCATACTTATACTTAAGTACATTGAATCTCATGATTAAACGTACTGAAATAGGCCCATCTGGTAATCAGAATTATTCATTATACTTATTTACACAATTAAGTTTCTTTCAAGTCTGTTAAGAAATATCTAATAATTGTTTTATATAGCAGTGTTTTTAATTAGGTTTGCATATTATTAGGTCATTTATTTTTTTTTATAACATTTTTCTTTATTTTCAGAATTTAAACAGGACCTATGGGGAAACTGATTTATGGATAACTTTTTGTAGCCTGGGTGCCATTCAGAACTTAGTCCCGCCCACAACGTTTGAGGTCGGGAAGTTCGGTCTGGCTTTGCTCAGTGGTAGCGCGAGAATGCTCGCAAAATATCTGGCGGGCCAATCAAATTGTCAGGGTGGGCTTTATAAAATGATGTACAGATGATCAACAGTAACATAATCAACCACGTCACCAAACCGCGCTTCGGTGACAACAACAATGGCTGCCACTGGAGAGTTGAGGTGTGTAGATTCTGCTATTAGGTCTGTTCTAGAAGATATTGACAGCAAATAAATTTTAAAAGAGGAACAGAGAAACGCGATCAAGGCTCATCTCTTTATTCTAGGCGTGCAACTGCACGCTTTGATTTTTGTTGACAACAACTATGCCTCACTTAACATACGTCACGCACTCCGTTGCTCTTATTGGTTGTAGGTCTATCCAATTTAGTGCAGAGGCATTTTTTTTCCTGGTTCGTTCGAAACACGCCCCATAATCACAGCTCTATGGAGCAGTATCAGACTCATATTCTGACTAGAATTGAGTAGGACTACGTCAGGCTAAACTTTTTGTGGGCTGGCATGAAAACGAAAAGCTATTTCTACTTAGGTTTTTCTTAAATTCTGTTACATAATTAGCAGTCCTGAAGAAGAAAATAAAAATGTAGCTTGGATTCTCTATAACATTTTCCTACATAACCAACTTTTAGTTTCACTTTAGGATTTGACCTTTGGGTCAGGTGACACCTTTTAACTTGTAGTTAAACAGAAATGTGATAGGTAACAGTATAACTTAACCTCTTAACATCCACCTAATTTTGGGTAATCCTAGCATATTTTGCATACTCAAATAAAAAAGCAAATAACTTACCGTTCGTTCATCCTGTACTCTGAACTGCTGCTAGCTTCACTCACATGCCTGGAAGATGTCTAGTGCTACTACCACAGATGATCTCGCTCTAAATGGAATTTAACGATTCAGATTAGCTAGCCGAACGAATAGAAGGGGTAGAGTGTAGCCGCCTGTGACCCGGGCTTCCTGTTACGACTCCAGTGCGCATGCGCGGATGACGTCGTACACACAACGCTTTGTTTTAAAAAAATATAAATTTAAAAATTATGTCTGGGGTACAGTGATTGGCCTACATGTTATGAATGCTGCCGTACCATAAAGAATAAATTATGAACGGTTGAGTTTGTGCCTTCAAGTCGTTGCCCATAGGAAGACGTTACCTCGATATAACCTAACCGAATATCTTCAGAACAGCTCAAAATGACACAAAACTCATATGGGTGTGTAGAACGTGATGTAATAACATAAAATCAAGGGCACAATAAAAAAAAAAAAAACGGCCTTCTCCTTTAAGGTCCACCAGGTCGCGGGAACCCGGTGGGTTTTTAGAGGTTAAAAACAGGTGTTTACATGTTTACGACCATGCTGCACAGTCAAGGAAACTTGGACATTTTCAAAAACTTCTGAAAAAAGCAATCCCACATGCAAATGAGTTGAAGAGTGTTTAGAATATGACTGCTGTGAAAAATAAATAACATATATGGTTTTATTTATTCACATCTTCCCTTATTTTATTTCTCTTCTCCAATACAATAACTCTCAAAGAACAATGATTACAGCTCCCCTATAACAGCTTCAATTCAAACACACCTACTAAGCCTGTAGCTCCTAAATGTTCCTTAGGTTAATCAGGGATCCATAGATCATCTTTTTAACAATCTCATTGTAAACATCCATGAGAAGAATGTAAAACTAAACTTTGAAGCCTCGACTATAATTATGTCTCATATCATATAATACACAGTGCTTCAATGTTTTCTTTTTTAAATCCATGTATCTTCTCTGTTTCTATTAATAGGTTCTCCGACTTCTTGTTGTGGGTTGAAAGGCCAGAAATGTAGGTATATTTTTCTAGTTTAAAAGCGAATAACTAGTTGGTTTGATAACTTCTATCTGTTTAATGACAAGGATTTTGGTAAACCCTAACATTTCCCCATTACAAATAAGGTGCTCATAAAGGCTATGTATTGCTACTTATGTTTTAATACATTCTCTGTCGCTAAGATCCTATATATTTGAATGAATATACAAAAACACCTGGATGTAAACTATTTCCCCTAAGGTTACCACTGCGTTTACCAGATTGGTGCCTTGTAAGTAATTTTCCTTGTTACAACATTGATGTATGAACTATCTGTAGATACTGGAAAAGCACATAGTGAGTATGTTATAGATGTTTCCCCATCAAATGGCCCATAAGTAGTTGGAAACTAAGCTGTGTGTATAGCAGCCTTCCTTTGTTTTATAGAGCATAGAAAATGTTATCATGTTTGCTGCTTAACTGGTTCATGTGCTTACTTTAGAAACAGTATTAGACAGTAAATGTCATGCGATTTTTGCAAGTAAAGAAATGGTGAATTTACACATGATTATTCTGGTAAGTTGACTGATAACTGAGATTGTCAGTTTCTTAGTGGAGAAAAGTAATTTTTCTACACCCTGTTTATTGTCTCCTTTAGTTACATTAGTTGTTAAAGAAATGTGGTGCGACTAGAGACAACCAAACAGTGATATTTTTCCTTTCTCTGAATAAATTGTCTCTTAGTACCAAAAAGAAGAATTGTCATCGTTGGACAAGCTGGAGTTGGAAAAAGTAGCCTTGGAAACAAGATATTTAAAGGGGATAAGTTCACAGTCAGCCATGATCCAGACTCTGGGAGGAGAATCTGTGAAACAAAGACCAAATGTATTGGTGGAAAAGAAATCACTTTGATCGATTTGCCCGGTATATGTGATCCAGAAAAAAATGAAAAAGAACTGAAACCAGCGCTGTTTAAGTGTATCACAGAGTGTTCACCTGGACCTCATGTTTTCCTCATTGTGCTCAACATAGAGGAGTATATAGAGAAAGGCAAAGATGTCATCAGCAAACTGCATGAATACCTCTCTGAGGATGTGTTTAAGTATGCTATTGTTGTCTTTACTCATGGCAATAGTCTCCCTAAAAGTCAACGAGTCAAAGATTTTGTGAAGACCAATACATATCTCAATGACTTAGTTGAAAAGTGTGGAAATCGATGCCACGTTGTTGATAATAAACACTGGAGTAAGCGATCAAAGTATAGATATAGAAGCAACAAGTATCAGGTGAAGAAACTACTTGAGTCGATAGAGATGACTGTGGAGACAAATGGTGGAAGCTGCTATACCAATGACATGCTACAAGAAATAGAGAAAAACATTGAACAGGAAGAGAAACAAATCAAAGAATCCTCAAGAAAATTAACAGAGGAAAAGATCAGAAAGGCTGCTAAAGACAAGGTGCATGAAGATGTATGTAACAAAGGATCAGATGTTACTGCAAGGGATCTATTAGGAGTTATTTTCGGTGCCAAATTTATCTCTGTATTATTTTCATTGCGATCAAAAGCTTCAAAGTTCCTTACAGTGGCAGTCAACACTTTGAGTGGATCAGCAGCCAAAGCTATAGAAACAGTAACAAAAGCAGCAGTAGACACGGCAGGGGTAGCAGCAAAAGAAGACACAACACTAGGATCAGGAAAACCAACAGAGGTAAAAAAGGAGACAAGAAAAGAAGAGGGAAAAGGATTAGAAGTAACAGGAGTTTTACTGGGAGCAGCTGCATCAATAGCAGGAATAAGTCCAGCTGCAGTAACTGCAACTAAAGTAGTAGTAGGAGCGCTTGGGAATCTGCTTTGGTCATATGAAGGAGCAGAATAAAACAGAAACACCATGGGAAGCGGCAGGGAAGGCAATTGAATCTTTGACCTCTTCAGGAGGTACTTTATTAGAGACATCGCAGAATTTAATGTCGAATCTAGTCAACACAGTGTCTAAATCCCTGACCAAGGACACTTGAAAGATCAAAATGTATATGTATATAACAATTATATGGTTCTATACTTTGAGTAGAAATTTAGCTATTTTGTGTTTTTGTATATGGTGTTTATCTCAATAACATTTAAAATTAGACCCCAAATAATCAGTGCTCTAAATAGTTACTTCTATTTATGAATGAGGTTTGATTGTTCCATGAAAAATAAAGCAAACCATTATCTCTGCAGAAGATTAGGCTTATCTTAAGCACAACAGACATAACATCACTCCAATATGTTTTTTGTTGACTTCTTTTAACAAAGAATATGTCCTCATTAGCTTTCTTTAGAAACAACTAATATCAGATGTGCAGAGCTGTGGATTTCTTAAATATTATTTTATTTATTAAAAAATAACAGAACATCAAAAAGCAAAACATTTGAAGGGGTTGAAATCCCTGTATGTAAACTTATGAAAAGTAAAAAAAAAAAAAGAAAGAAAATAATGTTTGACTCTAATTTTGGTATTTTATATTGAGAAATATGTTTGTTTTTTTAATAAGTTTTATTGTACGGACTTAAGTAAGTTTATGTTGCTCAAGTTTTAAAAACAAAGTTGTTTTTTTATGCATTTAATAACTATTTTTAATTGTTTGTTTTCTCTATTGATAAAACTTTAAACAAATTCAACAGACACAAAGTTGGATTTAATATTCACTCAAGTTGGGATTCTTTCCCACTGTTTCTAGTTCTGCAAAATATAGTCCAGGTAAGGGAGACAACTGCACTAAAGCCTGCAGAAGATTAGAAATTCCAGTTAAGTTCACTCCTTCTAATTTTAAAACTGTCAATGGTCTCTTTAGCCCATTGTTGGTTAAGATTTGGTGTTGCTTTATATTTTCTTTTGTCCAAAATCAGGTGCATGGTTCTACTGCGGTAAAATGGAGGCAGTATGTTGTATCACTCCATCAGACAAGAGAGATGATTATATTAGCTGTAAAATGCAACAATAAAAAGTTGTTTTGGCTTTAAAACAAGTACTTTAGCCTCTATGCTGTTTGTACTTTCAGTTTTCACAATGAGTTATTATAAAGTGAAGAAAGCAAATGAATGTTACAGTAATTGTAGAATATTCAGAAATGTGAAAAACAAATAAATAAAGTCATGCAATCAAATAAGAGTCATAAAAAGCTGTATGTATGTGTTGACGTAGATTTAAAGGAGTTAGCATACATTTATCATGTTCTGATTTGTTTTTTGTCAACATGGGTAACAGTTTTTACTTACCGGTCTTCTGTGATGTGTGGATAAAAAATATACCTGGTTTATAAGCACATCAAATTTGTTAATATCTGATATGATGAATGCACTATACTACTTAACAGCAGAACTTATCATGACCTGGATGACTGAAAATCTTCTCCAGCATACCCATACTATTGTTATCTGAGTTTGGTTTTTGGCCAATTAAATCATGAAGAGATTGCTCAAGCAATATTTTTGAGTGAATTCCAAGACAGGATTACATATACTTAGACGCTGAGAGCAATCTTCCTTCCGTGTTCAGTGATGGCTTTTCTCTTTTAATAAAGATGTTGTTTTTTTACCCCTCTTTCAACCATCTGTCCAAGATCTAAACATCATGTTCATCAAAGTTGTGGCCCTTCTTTTTGAGGTCTAAGTATACAGCTGGATTATTCTTCTTCCTCCTGTGCTGCAGCCCATTGTGTAATCTGTGTTTGGTTTGATGCCTACAACACTAAAACCTAAGTGAAAACATAAAAAAATTAATAAAGGCATTTTTGGAACAGAAACACAAATGAGGCAAAAAATCTAGCACCCTAAGCTTACGACAGGTATCAGGGGTTGACGTTAAGGATTTTTACCACTTGCCAGAAGGCTTTCACATTTCATTAGCCCAGAAACAATTTTTACTTGCCCAGTATAATGTTTGATAAATATAGTTCCTAATATTTATTTTTGTATGTATATCAATGAAACATGTTTGTTTTTTAAATGTTTTTTTGTAATTCAGTATTTTTTAAGTTTACAGGTTCCTAGTGTGTATATGCATGCGTCAGATAATGAACTCAAGCCTACATTACCGTGTTAACATGCTTTTCAATCCTTCCAGCACATTCTCTTCAAACTAAACTTTGCTTTAAACTGTTGTGTGCTTGGGAAAATATAAATTGTAATGTTAAAAATCTAAAAAAAAAAACTTGACAGGTTTAAAACTTACACTACTACTACTGACCAATTTAACATGTTTAGCTCTATAACAGATGAACCACTCCAATGTCTAAGAGAAAAAAATTTAATGAACATTTTTTAATGTATGACCACTGTACAGAAGACTGCCATATGATAGAAATATTTACACTGTGCGCATATAATTATTATTATTATTTTCCTAATCCCTGACTGATTATTTTTAATCTAGCGTGTATTATAGTATAGATTAAATTCATCATCCAGCTGCTACTCTGCAGAATTCTCTCCCCAAGAGCTGAATCACGCCATCTAGCGGAAAATCACGCGGCTTTTTTCAAATCACGCGAGAATTTGCACAAAACAACAAAGATGGCGCCAGCAATGCTTGTGGGTCGTTTTAAGCGAATGTCAGTGATTTTAAAGTAATTTTGAGTGCTAAATAATTTTTTTGGCGATCATTGCACTTGCCCGGCGGGCACATGGAGTGAAATTTGTACTCTTCCGACAATAAAAAGTACTTGCCCCAGGCGATCGGGCCATGGTTAACATCGATATATAGCAGCAGTTCATCTAAGGCATTTTTTTTTTTTTATATTGAAATTTTTATTTGGAAAGGCAGGTTACAATTACTTTGTACATTCAAACTTCCACCACAGTGGAAATATGGAAAAGAACAACATAAGCCGATCAGGCTCTGGCATACTGGCATACAGCACAGATAAAAGGTAAAAAATATGTAAAGTTTTTACAATATAACAGATCTAATGGATCTCCGCAAACAAATAATTAGTAATATATGACTAAATTGTAGACTATATAGCTAAAAAGTTGATAAAACAGTTTCTAATATATGATTACAGAGCATGACAATTCACTAGAAGTAGAGCATGCATGATCAAGCTTTACTATAGCAGAAATACCTAATCAACTATTGATTCCTTTACTATTAAATCCCTATCTCTTTATAATGGCATATACATTCTAGTGTAAAAATCTAATATTTACAGCAAGTTCTTACTGACTGGGCACTTTAGATATATCCAGCCTAAAAATAATTTAAAAAATTAATCATAAGTTTTTAAGTTTAAGTTTTGATTTTTAAAGCAGCGAACATGATTTTTATGATTTATATGCAGCATTCCAACAAGACTGAGAGACCGAGCCAGCCAAGCATAAGGACACAGTGGTGATTGTCAAAAAAATGGGTTTTATTTCCCCAAAGTAACAATAATCCAAACAAAAATGTCAGGGCCCTTAAAAGAGGGCATTTTAGTAAAACAGACATGAAATTAGACCCTTGACCTGTGAGAAATTCACGAGGAAACCCCACTCTTAAAAAGAACTGTATCAGAGAGAAGGCTATAACTTTTGCCTTCATTGTCTTCAGAGGAAAGACTTCAGGGTATCTGGTTGCGTAATCTGTGATCACCAACATATATCGATAGCCTGAACGGCTCTTTTCCAGGGGGCCGACAATGTCCATTCCGAGACGTTCGAAAAGGCGTGCCTATCACAGGCAGGGGCTGAAGTGGAACTTTAGAAGGGCCTTTAATTGAAGTTTTTTGACACTGGGGGCAGCTCTTACAGAATTTTGCAACATCTGAATGCAGGCCAGGCCAGTGAAAATAATGTTGATTACGACTAGAGGTCTTGTATTTCCCTAGGTGGCTAGCCCAGGTAATTGAATAGCCCAGATTTAGTACAACCTCTCGGGCCTCTTGAGGGACCACTAGGCGTTTAGCCTGACCACACTAATGGTAAAGTATGCCATTCTGTAAAAAATACCCCTCTTTGCTGTTGGCAACTCACCCAAGCTCACCCTCAGAATTCCTCTGCTTAGCTCGGAACAAAGCCGAAAGGCAAAAACAAAAAAGCAACAAGGTTAAACCTCAGAGAGACAAAGACTCAGCTTGGCTAGAGTACCCAAAACTGGCAAACACTCTGGCGTCAAGGTAGTGGCAGTGCCCTCACATAATGAGCCAACCAGCCGCAGGTGTGTGGAAGGGCAGGGCACCACCTGGTGGTGGAGGGAGGAAACACAAACAAAACACAACCCACACAAACTGGATTCCTAACACATATATTTCAATGGATATATATATATATATATATATATATATATATATATATATATATATATATATATATATATATATATATATACATATATATACATATAATACATACATATATATACATATAATACATATATATATATATACATATATATACATATAATACATATATATACATATGCATATATATACATATGCATATATATACATATGCATATATATACATATACATATATATACATATATATATATATACATATACATATATATATACATATATACATATATATACATATACATATATACATATATACATATATATACATATACTGTCATGGTCTTAGTTCTGCTGTTCTTTACTTTGCTCCTTGTTTTCTAGATTTATTGGTTTAATTCCAGTTTTGTTGTATTTCTAGATTTATATTAGTTCTCATGTTTTCCTGTTGTCCCCTTTTGCCCTCTTGTGTGTGTGTATGTTCCTTTCCCCTTGGCTCCCTCGTTGTCTCCTCTCACACCTGTTCCTTGTCTGCTCGTTAGCCCTCCCTTTGTCTCTCTCTCCTATATATGCTCTCCCTCTGCTCTCACTCTTTGTTGGTTCCTTGTCTTTGCTGTCCTCCCGTGCTGTTGTCCACGTTCCTCGTCTCTCCCTGGCTTCTCGTGTTTGGTTTTCCCCAGATGTCTCCTCTGTTCTGGTTTGCCTTTTTATTATTAGTTGCATTTTTGGATCCCTGCCTTTGTTTACTGTTTTGCCCCATTAAAACTCCCAAGAGTTGTCCTCAGCCTCTGCCTCTGCATTTGGGTCCAAACCACAACTAAACCCTGACAAAAGGAACCAACCACAATGGACCCAGCAGAGCCCAGTCTGGACACCCTGAGGGACTTTTTCCTCAACCTAGGCAATACTCTGGACTCAATATCCAACCTTACACCGCCTTGGAAGAGGGTGAGTGCAACTAGCCAACTTAAACAGATTCTCCTCTCAAACTCCACACTCATTTCTCCCCCAGTATTATATGAACTGTTTGAAGAGTTGGAGTAGAACCACCAAGCAGCCAGCGCCCAGCTCTTCAGCAGACCTCCACCACCCAAGCCATCTCTTCATCTCCTCCCTACCCTGCTGTCAATCGCCTCGGGTCCAGTTCCACCACCTTCTCCAGCTGTTGGTCCCCCCATGCCGTCTGCCTCCACCAGGCGTAAGCGCCGCCGGGGGAAGAAATCCACTCCCTCTCCGGCGGGTCAGCCTGACGCCTCCACTCCCTCTCCGGCGGGTCAGCCTGACGCCTCCACTCCCTCTCCGGCGGGTCAGCCTGACGCCTCCACTCCCCTCTCCGGCGGGTCAGCCTGACGCCTCCACTCCCCTCTCCGGCGGGTCAGCCTGACGCCTCCACTCCCCTCTCCGGCGGGTCAGCCTGACGCCTCCACTCCCTCTCCGGCGGGTCAGCCTGACGCCTCCACTCCCTCTCCGGCGGGTCAGCCTCACGCCTCCACTCCCTCTCCGGCGGGTCAGCCTCACGCCTCCACTCCCTCTCCGGCGGGTCAGCCTCACGCCACCACTCCCTCTCCGGCGGGTCAGCCTCACGCCACCACTCCCTCTCCGGCGGGTCAGCCTGACGCCTCCACTCCCATGGGTCAGCCAGCTGACAGCCTTAGCTCCCCTCTTAACCAGGTCAGTTTCTCCCTAAATCTCAGTCGTCACCTCCATGACCAACAGCTAGCCCCATCCTTAAAGAAACTCATTATTACACCCCCTACAGTCAGTGCTCCCCATATTGAGGAGTCTCAATTATGGACCTTCTTTTATGGGGAGAGGGAGGATCTATTCCCTTTCCTTCCACCTCCATCAGTTCCCTGTCAGCCAGCACATCCCAAGCCCTTTAGCGGGCCGGTTTCCCTAGCTCCAGAGCCCTTTAGCGGGCCGGTTTCCCTAGCTCCAGTGCCCAGTAGTGGGCCAGATTACCTAGCTCCAGTGCCCAGTAGTGGGCCAGATTACCTAGCTCCAGTGCCCAGTAGTGGGCCAGATTACCTAGCTCCAGTGCCCAGTAGAGGGCCAGATTACCTAGCTCCAGTGCCCAGTAGAGGGCCAGATTCCCTAGCTCCAGTGCCCATTAGAGGGCCAGATTCCCTAGCTCCAGTGCCCATTAGAGGGCCAGTTTCCCTAGCTCCAGAGCCCATTAGAGGGCCAGTTTCCCTAGCTCCAGAGCCCATTAGAGGGCCAGTTTCCCTAGCTCCAGAGCCCATTAGAGGGCCAGTTTCCCTAGCTCCAGAGCCCATTAGAGGGCCAGTTTCCCTAGCTCCAGAGCCCATTAGAGGGCCAGTTTCCCTAGCTCCAGAGCCCATTAGAGGGCCAGTTTCCCTAGCTCCAGTCCCCCTTAGCGGTCCTGTTTCTCTAGCTCCAGTCCCCCTTAGCGATCCTGTTTCCCTAGCTCCAGTCCCCCTTAGCGAT